CAAATAAGATATGTACATTGTACATAGGAATTAATTCATTTTTCCCCAAATTATAACCTGGCCCTCCAACAGTTTGAGGGAATGTAGCCTGGCCCTCTGTTTAAAAAGTTTGAGGACCCCTGACCTAGAGAGACCCACAAACACTTCCATGGGACTATTTTGTGGAGCCTGGGCAAGTGATACCATGGATACTGAGTCCATAGATAAGTGGGCTGTACTCTACTGTCGATCACATTGTGGGATTCACCTACAAGTGGAGTAGTGAGTGGGCATAGTAATGGTTGTTCATCATTTAATGCCTACTGAGTTGATAAAAGACACCACCAGATTGTGGCCTGGTAACCTTATTGTGTATGGTTAAATTCTATCTATCACTTATAGTCCTGTTAGACTGGAGTTTTGGGAAAAAAAACGCCCACATTTCATTTTCTTGACTGCTGTTTGGCATTCTTGAGAGCTCAGATTTGAAAACAGGTCCACCCAGCCTGTAATCCACCACACCTCATGCAATTTACTGGTCATATAAAGTGACACACTAGGGACTTAAGAAACCCCTTCTGACTTTGCTGATTTTTTGCATGCTAAAAAATAAGAATTTTATCACTTAGCTGGCAAGACAGTTCTTGAGAAGTTCTGTGTTCAGCATGTCGAATTACAAACGGACATCATACTTTTTTGGACTACAATGGTCAGCATATTTCCTAGTCCTGCCTAGAGATGCCAGAGACCCTCTGCAGGAAGAGAGCAAAGAATGTGCTCTACTGCTGAGCTACAGCTCCTTTTAAAAATGGCACAGCATTTCTGTTTTGTAATGTCAAGCTGCAATGAGTGTGCCCCCTGCTTTGTATAAACACCTCATATTACATTCAAAGCTCAGAAAAATCCTTTTTTATATTACAATTCTCAGATTCCCCTGTGGCTAGGCATTCTTGGAGTTGTAGTCCAAAAAGCAATTAGTACTAGTGTTTCATCATAGTAGCGCAATGGGTTAAACCCTTGTACCAGCTGAACTGCTGACTTGAAGGTTGGCGATTCAAATCTGTGAGATGGGGTGAGCTCCCATCTGTTAGCTCCAGCTTCCCATGCAGGGACATGAGAGAAGCCTCCCACAGGATGGTAACACATCCGGGCGTCCCCTGGGCAACATCACTGTATACGGCCAATTATCTCACACCAGAAGCGACTTGCAGTATAGTCTCAATTTGCTTCTGACATGATAAAAAAAAGTCCAATAAGCAGTATCTCCAAGCTTTTAGCATACATTAATGAAAGCTTTCTTAGAAATGACATAGTGGTGTTTCATGTCTTCACATGAACTTCTTGTAGAACTTAGAAATGGGGTGTTTGTTTTTATTATTTTATTGCAGTAGACCCTGTGGCTCATACAACTAGCTTGTTCACCCAAAGCAAAGGTTTTGGAGGCACTGGGAGTGGTGGCTACTGGTTGTAGAAGCATTTCCTTGAGCCCGTTAATTAGCACAGTAACGGTACCCGTGCTCCATTAGCCAGCCCATGTGGTCGGATCCCCTCCCCGTCCACCAGCCTTTCCCCTAATGAGAGCTGGAAGAGGGACACTCACAAAACACTGCCTCAGAATAATATTCTGCTTTGTCCCCGCCGGTAACAAGAGCTGACAGGATCACTACGTCCATTTCTCTTCTAATTAGCACACTTCCAGCTTGGCCTGAGCCAGCAGCCAGAGAAAAGCGATCGGACAACCGTACCGAATCACAAACACAAAGAGGCCCATTCCCCATAATTAGGTGAGACAATCCCTCAGTCTTTTCTCGGCTGGAGCTTGCCCATAAGACCCTCGCTGTTTTGGTAAGTCCCAGCAACACAAGTTACACGTCTCCCCGGGACACTAATAAGCCCCTAATTGTCTTCCGCTTCACACGGCTCTTACCATAGGTCTGACTTTGGGGGAAATTCTCCTAACAAGCAACAGCCAGCATCGCTTGCACCACAAATGCAACAAGAACTTTAAAAGGAGGCGGGGGAGATGGATAGGCAGTGAGAAAACAGTCTGTAACTACTGGGACCCGATTATTGCATAGTGGGGACTCAAAGGGAAGGACGCCAGCATGCCTGACATCAACTCGTAATTGTCAGGGACAAAGTCTGTCCTTGACCCTTCCCATTCATTTCCTACTGTCCACATTCTTCACCCCCCTCGTACCTTTTTACTACCACTGTCCTCTCTCTAAATTCTTTCCTTACTGATGGATACCTTACTGTATGTACTTTCTCTGGACTCTTGAGAGGTGGGGCCATTTTTGGAAAGGCTTATTTCATTGAAGAAATTATTGAGCAGCTCTGGAAACGTGCATGCTCAAGGAAAACACATTCTTCCAGGAAGGCAAATTTAATGAATTGAGTTATTAAAGCACGCGAGTTCTTGCCATCAAAGAAGCCTAAAAACTTCAAAAAGATAGTCCATGTGAGTCTGTTTTAACATTAAAAAGACAGAAAAGAATCCAGTAGCTAATTGGGAAGAAGAAATTCCTATCAGAAGTGTTTGCAGACTTGGTCCACTTCTCAGATGTCTGAGTCAAATGAATGTTATTTGTTTGTATCTGACTGAAATTGAAGTCTTCCTCATATTCTTTCTTCCATAATGCATTCACAGCTGTGCAGTTTCCCCTCCAAAAGATAATTACTTTTAATGCATACCAGAGATGGATGCTCAATTGACCTTGGCACAACTGAGAGGAAAAGTGATAGAAAGCAATATATACAAAGCAGAACAGCCACAGAGGTGAATTTGCCTTTCTATTTTTTTCTATTCATACCACATATTCTCTTCAATCTTACGCATACTTACTCAGAAGGAAGACTAGGGCCCCATCTACACTGACCATTTAATGCCGTTCAAAGCTAGGTTCAGACTTCAGCAGCTAGACAACAAACACCCATAAAAACATGTAAAAGAAAGCCCTTAACGTGCATCAGTGCTCATTGGTTTATGTAATCACCATCCGGGAGGCCTCAAACCGCTTCCAGAATTTCTTAGGCAATCATCTGTACAGCGAAACAACTTTCTTCAATACTGGTTTGAAACTGCAATAAATAGCCAGAGTAGATGGCTTCTAATGTAATGGGGCTTCCTACCAAGGACATATACATAGGACTGTAGCTATAACATAGATAAAGGTTTCCCCTTGACTTTAAGTCTAGTCATGTCTGACTCTGGGGGGTGGTGCTCATCTCCATTTCTAAGCTGAAGAGCCGGCATTTTCCATAGACATCTAGGTCATGTGGAGTGCCATTACCTTCCCACCAAAGCATTACCTATTGATCTACTCACATTTGCATGTTTTAGAACTGCTAGGTTGGCAGAAGCTGAGGCTAACTATGGGAGCTCACCCCACTCTGCAGATTTGAACTGCCAACCTTCTGATCAGCAAGTTCTGTAGCTTAGTGCTGTGACACTGAGGCCCCTAGCTATAATAAAGGACCTGCAAATAAAGAAAAATAATGAAAGAAGTAAAATGACATAATGTAAACTTGGATCAAATCATGTTAACAAAACCACAGGGAAATTCCATTAATATAACATTAATCCATGATAATATTCCAACTAGGGAGAAAGATGAAAAAGAAATGTAAAGGACATGGTCAAGGGGGAGAAAAAGGAAGAAGTACTAGGGATCACATTGCAAAAACATGTTGAATAATGGAACATAGCAAAATAATTTCAGAAGAAAAGCACCCTGTGCATTATAGATTATAGCAAAGCCTTTCATTGCATAGATCATGAAAAACTACGCATCATTCTTTTAAAAAATGGGTGTGCCACAAAATGTGATCATCCTGGTGCGTAACCTGTACTCAGGATAAAAGGCATTTAATATAGGTTTTATTTTTTACTTCATCCACACCCAAAGGAAGAGAAAGTCATCAATAAACCATAATTCTTCAAGACAGTTCTAATTTAAACTTCTCCAGAGAGAAGCTAACAGACCAATACCAAGCATCTTTACTCAGCATGTTGAATTCAGAAGAATTTTTTGTACTTGGAAATAAAGTTTCAAACCTCAAGGGACATGTCCAAGTAAATATACATAGGAGTAAGCTGGTGTTTTTCTGTAAGCCACTGATTTGATTTGGTTGTTTTTTGGGGGGTGGGGGGCATTCCATATTTCACAGACTGTTCATGAAAATGCATATTGTTTATTCAAGAGAGTCAGAATACAGATAATTTCTGAAGGACAATACAATGAGGAATAATACTATCTACAAAAATAAATTTCTAACACTACATATGCATGGAAAATATAAATATATAAATATCCAAGATCTAAATCATATACAACTCACTCCTCTGTCCTTGGAAGATACATTTCTGGAACAAACAAGAATGCATTTAAGTGCAGAAAAGTTAACAATTTATCACATTTGGCATTCATGGCTGAATGTGGACTTCTCTGGTATGTTGCCTAGATGTTTCAGTTTCACATACTCCAAATGTATTTAAAGGTGATTCAAACAAAAACATTCAGAACATGAAACTGTCCAAACCCAATATTTCAATGTCTGATCACATTCAGTGTAAGAGTTGAGAACATATATAAATCTGACCCACTGAAACCAATTCTAGATGCTTTCAAAACCATTTTAAACTCTTAAACTACTCAACTTGAGTAGACATGTACCCACACAATTTTGAATGTGCAATCTTACAATCCACAAAGAAATATATTGGGATTTCAGTATTTCTAAATATAGAAATAAAACGTTAGGTCAACATAAAAATTATCTCACCATAATTTCTCTTACCTTCATCCAAGCTTCTTCTGATCTCAGATATTTTTTGTTAGCTGTTTACCACCATTTCTAGTTGGGTGTCTCAGTGGCCTAAATGTGGCCAGTGCATATTGAAGCCCAAATAAAACAAAAATATCTTCATGTAAAAAAGCTTCACCTACTTGAACACTGCAAAGAGTTTGCTGAACTACCACCTGAATTACCACCAATGCTTAAAATAAAAGAAACATACCTTGCACTCAAATAAACAAAGATTTTAATTTAAACCAGAAAATTAGCAGATCTACAGCAGAAATCTTTCATCCATGCACTGTATAAACTGCCTCAAGTGCAGAATTGCTTATGTATTACATGTAAAGTTGCATATAATAGCCTCTTGGTTATATTTCACCCATATGTCATGAAACTAACATCATGGCGTCTGTAGATTAAACAGTGCAAATCAAGAACTCTGTGGTGAAATCACTCAGCATTCAACTATTTTTCCTGCTACTGGAGCAAGTGAGAGGAGAAACCCACCCAAAGGATGTTCTTCCCTTCTCCACTGGGAAATGTCAAGGCTTTGTCTGGCCCGTGGAAAGATGGCATTGTATGTGTGTGTGTATACACATACATATACATACACACACACACACACACACACATATATATATACATACATACACATACATACGCATATACCCCCACACATATACACATATATATACACAAGCACAAACTTTTCACTAAAATACATAGGCCATAACTTAATCATGTACTCTATTGTCTCACCAAGATAAATGCATATACAATTGGTTAATTTTGGATTTCCCCAAAAGTGTATTCCAACATTTCATTCTAGAGCAACATGCTTGAATCCAACACCCTGGTCAAGTTTCTTGTTAAAAAGCCATTTTAGCCATTTATGAAACAGAAGGTGACTCCAATTTAGCGTAACTGTCACCTGGAGAGGTGTACATAAGTAAAACAGCACAGAGATGCTAAGACAAATGAAAATATGATAAAGTCTGTTTGGGGGAGCTGTCATGAAAAAATATAAGATTTTGCATTTAAGTGTGATCCAAACAAAATATACAGCAGAACAAATATACAACGCTGAATATATGGCACAGGAGTGTTTTCTTATCATTCAGTAAGGCACACTTTCCATTTCCCACTGTAGCATATGCATAGCATGACTGTCTAGAACTATATAGAAAAAGAAACAATAAAGCAAAACACAAAATCTGTGTTGATAAGTGGCCCCATGAATCTATGTTGTAGGACTTCAAGTCCCAGCAGCCTTAGCCAGCTTTGTCAATGGTCAAGGATAGTGGGAGCTGCAGTTTAACATCTGGAGGGTGACACTCTTACTATACACAATGCCAACATGTAAAAGTATAAAAGAAAATTACCCTGTCCTTAGGTTAGTTAGAAGAAAATCAAAAGTAAGCAGATTTCAAACAGAGTTATACTGTTCAGAAATACAGCAAGGTATTTCAGCAAGATACTTTCAAATACAAAGTTGTGCCCCAAAGAAACTTAACACATTGTTCTTGGACACGGATCTATATCATAACATTACACACACATACAACTGTTTTTAATTGTATTCTGATAAAATTCTTGCATAAAATTCTGTTAACCCCCAACAAATGTAGATGGGAAGAACTTGGTGTTGCTTAGGAAACTGGCCGTATCCTTGTTTCTCATCAGAGCAGAGGCAATAGTCCAGAAAACATCCAGTCGCTTATGGTGGAGCACTGGTCTTTCCACTTCAGTGTCCATGGAAATGGTGGTTGTCAGGCGTACTTATTTCCATATCTGCTATTTTTTGGGCTTCTCCAGGATGTTGAGGAATTTTCCTCGTGTCATTTCTCTTGCTGAAATCACAAGAGAAAAGAAAACTTAATGCAAGCCCCAAACAAAATGGGATAATATACAATATTTAGCCCCACTAGTGAAATTAATTTAAAATCGCTTTCTAGTGCCAAGAGGTAGCAAAAAAGATATAAAGCAGAGAAATAAATTTGTGCTGCAGTTTAAAGCTCCATGCAGCCTGCAAATGCTGGCCAAGCACCGAACGCATCAAAGCTCAGACATAATAACCACAAGCTGTCTCATTTCATACTATATCCACTTCTTTTATTCCTACTGTGGTTAGCTTCAAGATCTCTTTTTCAGTTTTTCTACTACATCTATCTATGAATGCTATAATCTCGAGTGGCATTGCTTCTCTTGAGCAGGACACATCTTTCTGGATGCTATAACCTTTCAGAGACTATGGACCTCGGCTCCCTCCATTTCGAGATTACTTCTCCCTGGATGCTTATGATGTTAACATAAATGAGACAGCGTTTCCCTTGGCAGTAATAGTCCCTGGATACTATAACATAATGGGGTTTATATTCCCTCAGAGTAGATCCTCTATGGATGGAGTGCTAAAATAGAGTTTATAGAGCTTTGCTCAACTCGCTTATACTGTATTGTCATTCCCTGAATGTGTAATACAGCAAGGCAAAGTTTATACGTTTCGCTGTGCTTCATCAATCTCTGAGAAGAGATCTGCAGAATTTTTACACGGCTACTTTTAGAGAGAAACAGTTCTTGCTCACAAGTTCTAAGGTTTTAGCAAAGTCAACCTGAAGTCATTCATTTCAACTTAAAACTAATTATATATCCAGTATGATCCCTGTATCTGCTGGATTCATGTCTGTGGTTTTTTTTTTCCATGTCCCACAAAGTATGCTTTCCCTAGACATTTTCTAGCTCCTCCAGTACAACTTTGTACAACATTATAGCCTACAATGAAGGCTACAAGTCCTTCATTTCAGTAGGGCTCATTATTATTCACAGTTTTGCATATCTGTACTAAGTTCACGAATGTATCCCCCATGGGTTCTAGACAGGTCATATTGCAAGTACCTTTTTTCTTGTGCGTTTCCCATCAATGAAAAATCTGACCAAATGTTTCAGCTGTAAATATAAGGCAATTCTCATACTAGGTAGGTACAATTTTCTTAAAAAGGATCAGAAGATAAAATTGCCAACATCAGTATGCCTTTATACAAGTTTATGTTCCAACTAAGTTTTGAACACTGCACAAAAAATACTCTCTAGAGCTGGAAGGAAGCAAATCAAATTATCAGGGCTCCAGACAACTCTTCTGCGAGCACATTTACAACATTTGGGGATTGGTTTTGTTTTATTTTGGGGATTGATTTTATTTTAAAGACAAATAAGTAAATAAAAAAATATAAAATCACACATGATATGGAAAAAGTGGATAATTTTTTCCTCACTCTGTCATAATGGATTCATTTAAATTGGTGCAGATCGAGGAAGTGGACGAGATCCTTGTAGAAGCGAGAGCAACCACATGCATTCTAGACCCCTGCCCATCCTGGCTGATAAAGGAAGCCAGAGGGGGTTTGGCAGAGTAGGTAAAGGTGGTGGTTAATGCTTCCTTCCAGGAAGGCAAGATTCCAGCCAGCCTAATAGAGGCAGTAATAAAACCACTGGATCATACTCAATTGAACAACTTTCAGTCAGTTTCCATCCTCCCCCTTTTGGGCAAAGTCTTTGAATGTGTGATGGCCTCACAACTACAGGTGTTCTGGGAAGACACTGATTATCTGCATCTGGTACAGTGGTTTTAGGCCGGGTCATGGAGCTGAAACAGCCTTGGTCGCCTTAGTGGATGATCTGTGTAGGGAACTTGACAGGGAGAGTGTGTCCCTGTTGGTTTTCCTGGACCTCACAGCAGTTTTCGATAAATGGTATCCTTCTGGGACGCCTAACAGGAATGGGTCTTGGAGGTACTGTTTTACAGTGGTTCTGGTCCTCCTTCCTGGAGGACTGTTCCCAGAAGGTGCTCGGCCTCACAGCTGTTATCTTGTGGGGTCCCACAGGGTTCAACAATATCTCCCATATTGTTTAAAATCTACCTGAAGCCACTGGGAGAGATCATCTGCTTTTTGGAGTTCAATGTTATCTGTACGCAGATGATGTTCAACTCTATCACTGCTTTCCACCTGCTACTAAGGAGGCTGTTGACGTCCTGAACCTGTGCTTGGCAGCTGTGATGGTCTGGATGCGGGTGAACAAACTGAAACTGAATCCAGACAAGATGGCGGTATTCCTGGTCAATCACAAAGCTGAACAGGGTATAGGGATACAGCCTGTGTTGGGTGGAGTTACACTTCCCCTGAACACACAAGTTTGTAGCTTGGGAGTGATCTTGGACTCATAGCTGAGTCTGGAACCCTAGGTTTCGGCGGTGGCCGGGGAGCATTTGCACAATTAAAATTTGTGCGCCAGTTGCACCCGTACCTTGGGAAGTCAGACTTGCCCACGGTAGTTCATGCTCTGGTTACATCCCGAATAGATTACTGCAATGTGCTCTACGTGGGGTTGCCTTTGAAGACTGTTCAGAAGCTTCAAAAGGTCTAACGGACAGCAATCAGGTTGATCACTGGAGTAGAGTACAGGGAGCACACAACCTCCCTGTTATGTCAGCTCCACTGGCTGCCAGTCTGCTACCGAACACAATTCAAAGTGCTGGCTTTAGCCTATAAAACTCTAAACGCTTCCAGCCAAAGCTTACCTGTCAGGATGAATCTCCTTCTATCAACCATTGTGATTAAGATTGTCTGGAGAGGTCCTGATCTCAGTCCCACCTACATCGCAGGAGTGTCTGGTGGGAACGAGAGATAGGGCCTTCTCAGTGGTGATCCCTCAGTTGTGGAATTCTCTCCCCAGTGACATTAGAGCCGCTCCCTCCCTCCTGGCCTTCAGAAGAGAAGTGAAAACCTGGCTCTGGGGCCAAGGCTTTGGAGATGAATCTATAGTGCAATAATAGCCTCGAAATATGTGCAATTGATCTTTGGAACGGCCCTGGATTATGATTGAGGATGGTGTGATTTTAATAGCGAATGCAATGGTTTATATGTTTTAATGTGCATTTGATTTTAATTTTTTAACTTAAGTGAATTTTAACTGTTTGTTGTCCAAAAGCACTGAATAGTTGCCATATATAAAGTCGCCTTGAGTCCCCTTAGGGTTAGAGAAAGGCGGGATATAAATAGAGTAAATAAATAAATAAATAAAGCTTAAAATGCAGGGTCATCTAGCAAAACTGAATAGTGAGAGATTGAGGAGGATAAAGCTGCTAGTCAGAAAGACTATAGGCCAGTGGTTCTCAACCTGTGGGTCCCCAGGTGATTTGCCCTACAACTCCCAGCCATTTTACTAACTGTTAGGATTTCTGGGAGTTGAAGGCCAAAACATCTGGTGACCCACAGGTTGAGAACCACTGCTATAGGCAATCTCGAGGGGCATCTGATTCTAAATATTTGTTGCTGAGAAACACTGTTGAAAAAGGTGGGCTCATTAACTGGAAATAGATTTTTTAAAAACTGGTAACTCTGGCTGTCTTTTTGGTAGCTAGAATAGTCTCCAAAGTAGCCAACACTTAACCTATGGGGTAAGTGATATGACAAGGGACCTGCAAATGGGAAGGGAGATAATTGGTCTTTTTGCATTTTTCTCAGTTAAGAGACCTGTGGTTTTCACCTAACTGGCAAAGAAGTTCATAGAACAAAAAAAACCTAAGAATCCTTGATTTAAACAATTTAGAAGAATTTAAAATAGTAACAATAATTTAATTTAAACTAAGTAAACACATATCAAACAGTTTGACAAGTTGTAATATGCCAGTTTAAAAACAGTTTAAGACAATTTAATACCATGCACGTGTACATTCTGTTTAAATCAACTAGACTCCAAACATTTTAGTAAATGCTTTACTCTGCATAAAGCTCTTCTGGACTCTTGGACCAGTTCTTAAACACGCTTCTGAAATGTGCTTCGTGTATTCCAAGTAGACTGGAACGTACTTAGTCTTAATCTTTTTTTATACTGGTTTTAAACCACTTCATTGGTTGTGTTGCAATAGCAGATTCCCAGATGTTTACACCTTATTTTATTTTATTTTGGTTATTTAATATTTAATGTTTATTTTTCTTAAGTGATATTTGTCTTTACTGTTCTAATGTAGCACAAATCCTATATAAAACCATACTACATATTTTTAACATTAATATTGAAATCTGAAATACATACAGAAAGTCTTTACCCTCTCACAGGAGGGTGCTTCACCAATGTGCCACAGCAGAGAAAGCCCTTTCCCAAGTTCTCCTGCCAAATATTATCCCATTGGTGGTGTACAGAGCAGAGCTTCTTTAACAGATCTTAAACCTATATATATGTGTATATTGGGACAGGTGCTCCGTTAACTATCAAGGTTCCAAGATATTTAGGACTTCAACTTATCAACGGCTCCGTGAAATTGAACAGTAACTGTATTGTTCAATTCCTTTAAATCTAGTGATACATGGTTTCTAAATGGTGTCTCTGTCAGCAATTTAGGTGCTGACAGTATTACCCAATTCATCTTCAAAGTAGACCCACATAGAGTTAGTTGCAGTAGTCTAACTAGGAAGATTGAAGTGAAAGGATTAGAACAGCTAGGGTACCCATTCCCAAGAATCTAGGAATGCTCCTGAGCTATATACTCGTATCTCAGCTCTCAAGTGGAAGACAACTCCATCCAAAGAGATCTCTTAGCCAGTTTCTAGACCTACAGAGTTTTTTTGTCTTACTGGGACTCAACTTCTGTTTAATGACCTCATTCAGACCATTATAGAAGTGAAACACAAGTTCTTCATATGTGCAGACTCGGGTGACTCTAATGACAACCCGAGTGTCATCCGTATACTGATGGAGTGTATACGGATGACACCCGAGTGTCATCCGTATACTGATGGCGTGTATACGGATGACACCAGAGTGTCATCCGTATACTGATGGCATACCAACCAAAAACTCCTAATGATCTTGTCCAAGAGATTCATACAGATATTGGGCCAAACATGAGTTCAACAATACTACCTTCTGAAGCCTCACTGCAAACGGAACCATCATAACACGTCTTATACCCCCACCCAACAAAGCCATACAGTAGGATACTATGTTGCATCTAAAGCTACCAAGATATTGAAAAAAAGATAAAGGGGATAGAACTATCTAGAACAGGTAGCCACTCAAGGCACTGCAGGCTGTAACTAGTCTTAAAAGGGTCCAGATAATTCAATAATGTCTGAAGTTGCCCAGTCATCGCACACTCAAGTACCTTACATTCAAAAGGAGATATCAACAACAGGGCAGTTTAACAATAATTGGGATCAATATCTATATCTATTCTCACTATTCTATGTCAACAATGCCTTGACTGAATTACCTGCTCGATTCATTAGAGTATTCAGGAACCCTCCGAATTCCATAAAACTCTGGGGACTAACCATTTTAATTGGTCCCTTATCCATTCTGGGAAAGTTCACTACTACCAAACAAAATCTGACAACAAAGGAATCTGATCATGACAAAGGAGTTGTTGGCAACCTGCCCTCAAAACTAATCATCATAATTCACCCAAATGGAAGAAAATCAGCTTCACTATATGTACATGCAAAAAGAAAAAAAGAAAAAAAAGAATACAGAACCCTTAGAGGCATGGCCAAACTGGCAAGAAAGAGAAATAAGTGAAGACAAGAGAAATAAGTAAAGCAGTAATATAACATTGCACCAAGAAACTAGAACATTTCAAACCATGTTCTTGCCATTAATATGGTTGCCTAAGTTGGCCTTGAAACCAAAGAAAATAATTTTCTAGCCATGTATTTCACATTTTTCTATGATGGGCATGTCATCACACCTATTTTTGAAGTCCTGAGACCGTAAAGTACTTTAGGATTCTCCAGGAAAAAAAATTGGAGACACTTGCATATTATTTGTTGTTGCGTTAAGGTGAGAAAGATTCCAAAAACGAAACTTGAAAACTATGACTGGAAGTTTGAGGTTGAAGACATTTTAGTTTGAATTAAATTCCACACCTTGTTCTTGCTCAAGTAATGTCAAATGGCAGCATTATTTGCTGATGGAGTGGAAATTTTCTGGAGCACAAGTCCCATATAGGAGATATACGAATGTGTGACAACTATGCGCCCCTGAAGAGGGCTGCACCCTATAAATCAGACCATGAGCATTGACTAGTTCTGTGCTCCAAGTGAAATTACTATGGGTTGGGGGCTGCTCCAGAGCACGTGCCCTCCTGTTCGCTTGTCATCGGAGATGTTAACATTTCTGATTAATTCACAGACCTCTCATTTTATTCTTCATTCCTTTATCCTTGCTATCCTGCTCTGCTGCAGCTTAAAAGATTCTTACCGACCTGCTACAATAATCACCACCCACTTGTGTGCCCCCCCCAACCTGGTGAAATTGTTTAGTGATGCCAACCGCGCTTTTAATTTGCAAGACATCAGACACAGAGGTAATTTATACCAACATCTGTTCATTTCTGACTTCTGAAACAAACTCGCACATGCTGCTACGAAATCCCATTAGGAACAGGAGACAGCCTTCTGCTATTCTGTATTCCTTTTCTCAATACACACTAAGGAGGCAACTAGGCTTTAAATTTCAAAACGTATGATGCAAAATTGAGGGAAGATCCTTATAGCTATCAAAGAAACCTTTCAGTCTCATCAAGTGCCATCCAAATTTTGCAGAGAATTTTCTAACTACCTTTGTGCCTTTGCTGTTTCAATCTTGTTGATCCAAATAACTTCAATACCCATATCTTGCTAGTAACAGGAGACATATTCAGAATGTATAGGGACTTGATCGCAATATGCTAGCATTCAGTATTACCCAGAAGTCATAATCCCACTAGTTCCCCCACCTTGCCTTTGAATATAGCTTTATGCACCATTTTACAGGTAGTTCTTGTTCTGCCTCACTCCAGTTCAACTTTGTTTAAAAAATTATTCTAAAACATCTGATGTCCTTTTCTTGCTCCTACCTCCATCACAAGCAAGATTGGTGGGGACAAGAGAGAGGGCCTCCTTGGTGGTGCCCCCCTGGCTTTGGAACTTCCTCCCCAGGGAGATCAGGCTAGCACCCACACTGTCCATTCTCCACAAAGATCTAAAAACGTGGATGTTCTGCTGTGCTTTTGATTAGACAATCCTTCAGGTAATTTCGGCCCCAACCGGGACCCAAAATCTTGTCCTCACACTTTACTTCTGTTCTGTACCCAAAGTGCTGGTTTTGACCTACAAAACCCTATACGGTTCCGGCCCAGTGTATCTGTCTGAACTGAAATAAATAAATAAATAAATAAATAAATATTATAATGCTCCATCTTACATTGCCCTCTATCCCTAATGTTGCCGTTTGACTTATGCACTTTATCCATCAGTCCTATCCTCGCAATTTATTTGCACCAGTCTGCCCACCCATGCCCAGAAACTGATTATTACTGCAGGTTCACTGGTTGTTGGCTTGATGGTTGCTCTTATATTCTGTTATAATGTTGCTGTTCTATTCTGTTTTATGCTGTTGTTTTTGTATTTTAGTGTGTAATATTTTAACTATGTTTGTTCGGGCTTGTCCCCATGTAAGCCGCCCTGAGTCCCTCCGGGAAGATGGAGGCAGGGTATAAAATAAAGTTGTTGTTGTTGTTGTTGTTATTTGGCAGGAGGACAAGGAAATTCACATTCTCAATACAGCCACTAACAGAAAAGCCACAGTAATAGCTGTCATCACTAACATCCCACAAGAAGATGGAAAGCC